TAAGTGTGATTTGCTACCGAACTTTGTGTTCGCTGAAACACTGGGGTTTGAAGTACCACTACACCAGTGTGTAATTCGTTCTATCCTGGGAGGAAATAATCCATAACCTTGGGTACTAGGAGGGGATTAAATTCCTTAAGGAAACACTGTGAATTCAGTGGGCTCGAATTAGTTTATGTCATTTCTGTTTATATTCATTACTGTTTATATTCATTTATATTTCCAGAATTTATTTTACAAATACAGTGTAATAACATTAATAATTTAATAAAATAGTAATTAAAATCAAAGATTGAGATGGATGTACTAAGAAAAATAGATTTGGGTCTCTATGAATTTAATAAAATAGTAATTGAAATAATAGATTCAATGTCAAAGAGCTATTCTCAAAGATTGAGATGGATGTTCTAAGAAATAAAAGATTTTTGGGTCTATATAAAATTGAAAAAAGAAAAGAAGAAAAGAGAAAGAGAGGGGAGTAGATAGTGAACTTTTAGGAGAATTAACCCAAATAGTCGACTATCCAACTGTTTAAATTAAAAATAGCCGGTGGAGGTATAATATATTTATAGTTTTTGTATTATATGTGTACAATTGTATATAACTAATGCATAATCTATGTATATGGCTAGAAAAAGTAAACAATAAATATGATCGACTATTTGTGTAAAAAAATCAAGAATTAACCCAAATAGCCGCTCACCTAACCACTTAAACTAAAAATAGCAGGTGAAGGTATAATATATGCATAATTTATGTATTATATGTGTATAAGCAATGTATAATCTATGTATATGCTTAAAAAAAGTAAATAATAAATATAATCGGCTATTTGCGCAAAGATCCGAAATTTTTAAGGAAAGTGGCGAGAAGAAAATCCCCTATTAACTTAATTTATTTAAGAGATTCTATATAAGGGCTTATTGTTTAAAAGGGAATTTTCCTCAGCAAAGATTTAAGGAAAATAAGGAAAGAATTAAAAACAAAACAAGTATGCCCTCTTTTACTTTTCATTTGACATCCAAAAAGAGAAAGAAATCTTTTTAATACTTCTCCTCTATTTTTATAAACTAACCAAATTAATCTTAGCAATTCCATTGCTCTTTATGCTTTTCCTTCTTTTTCTTTTTTGGTCTAATATATACTACCCCCGGTTCACAATAAGTGATAAATTTGCTTTTAGCACGCCAATTAAGAAAATACTAAATTCTATACAAAAATACCTACTATGACTAAACTACCCCTAATTAAACATTTGTGAGGAGTAAGAAATTTTTTAGGGATATGTACATAGGGGTTATTTTGTAAAAACAAATTGAATTCTTTCTTGATTACATAACTGGACACTTATTTTGAACCAAAATGAAAAAGCAAATTGGTCACTTATTGTGAACCGGAGGGAGTACCTTTTAATTTTTACCTGTAGTTTCTTAAGGCAATGGATATAATTGAATAGTTAGAATATGTGGCAAGTTAATTTAAACTCCATAAAAATTAGAGGCTTATATATACACGAGACAAACACATAATTAACCTCTTCCCAAAAAAAATTCCACCATTTTCTCTCTTCTTTTTCCTATCCAATTTCAGCTCCAATATGGCGAAACAAAGGGAGGTATGTCTTTTATTTTGTTTTTATGTTATCTTGAAAGATTGTAAATTTTATTATGTATTTCTCACATATTTGTTTTTCCTTTTCTTTTCTTTTGAAGATTGTTTTAAGTTTTTTAATGGAATATGATCACGAAGATAGAGTAGTTAATGTATCTTTATGAGTTGGAGATTTTGTTTCTCAGGATCCATTAAAAAAAAATTATTGTACTTTTCTCTTGATATTTCTTTATTGATTTTGTTTCTCCTGCTGTGTCTTCTGTTTATGGCCTACACGATTTCCTAACGAATAACAATAATAATATTGAAATATGATTTTAAAAAAATTAAGATTAAATATTGTTTTCTACATCATCATTAATGTTAAAACATTAATTTATATGGTTGTTAGCGTGGATTTAATTGTTAGAGATACCCTTATGATTCTCTTGTATCATAAGAGATTTCAGCTCTTCTCTTTAATACATTTATTCTTAATGTAGATATTTAGTCATAAAATAAAACCCTTTTAGTCTTGTCTTATTATTTGTGCAATGAAGTTGCATACATTACAAGAATTACTTTCATCTCTTTATTGGCTCAATTGTAAGTTTTACTATAGTTAGCTTGTAAGTAATATATGAGAAATCATAACAATATCATAGGATGAAGAGCTACTCTTTCTCCCAAGTTTTCTTTGGTTCACACTCGGTGTCCAATATCCGCTTTGGGGCCCGACTTCCGTTGGGGGTAAAGCCAGTGGCGAAGGTAGAATTTTCATTAAGGCGGTTCAAAAAAGAAAAAAAGTTAAACAATTAGAAGAGACTGTGGCTAGTGGGAATTGAACTAGTGACCACATAAAAGTTTTGAACCCCTTGACCGTTGAGCTATGCTTTAGACCTATGTAAAGGAAATTCAAAACATAATATATACAGGTAAAACACAGATTTTGCCTTATATACACAGTGTAAATTTTTGGCGAAGAGAGTTCGGGTGAACCCCTTTTCGTCCCCCTAAATGTGCCCTTGGGTAAAGCACTCCATACCAAAGGCAAGTCCATTCACAGGGCTCGACCCAATACCTCTGGTTCCCTAGTTACTTATTCTACTTTATGTATTTGGTCTTCCCAAAATTGTATCTGGAAAAGGGAACTTATTTGCATACACAGTATCCTGTAGAGAGTTCACTATTGTGAACATTCCCCAAATTACTCATAAACTTTCTCCTTGGACAAGTCAATATAGTTTACACTACACTTAATTATCCAACGCTTATGTATATCGTCTCATATCATAGATATCGGGTAACTCTGTAGTATCATTGTTTAACTACTTAAACAGTTTTATCTTCTATATATACAGAAATATGGATTGCCGTATGTGCCTCAGTTTGGAGCTTGGGATCATAAAACTGGGGACAATCTTAATTTTTCCATGGTATTTTCCCAAGCTCGTGCAAACAAGAAGCAGAATAGACATAATCTAGCACAACACAACCTGGGAAATGAGCAAGAGATTCTTGCCAAGCTCCAAGAAGTTTCACCCAGAGTAAGAAATAATTTTTTCTAACATCAAGAAAATTCATTTATATATGCACAAATATCTTCATTCAATGCATTATAAGTCTCAAGAGACACACCTTCCTTTAGTAGTACAATGGGAACTTAGCTTTGGTAGTGCAACAATGTGAATACTGCTCCTTATTTTGTTAAGAAATGCGGACATTAGTCCTAATTTGACTCTAAAATATAACTCATGAGGTGAGGATTGACGTTAAATTTAAGAGGAACCATCACCTTATTAAGATCATTTATCGATCTCCTTATGCAAGTTATTCTAACATACAATATATTTAACAATTAATTCACAGATAACCTTTCATATGTATTGCAGAGAGGAGGTAACTCACAATGTCATTGTCTAACTAATAGTTTTTCTGAATCTGTAGGAAGATAGCTCGACGCCAGTGCCTCAATTTGGAGAAAGGAATCAAAAGACTGAGGGAAATCCTGATTATTCCAAGGTGTCCCCCAAAGCTCATGCCAACAAGAAGTCACATAGACATGATCTAACACACCGAAGACTCGGAAGTAGAGAAGAAACTAGGTGAACCAATCAACGAGGTTACGTATCCACTGG